AAATTTAACCACCAACAAACGGTCCACGCCAGGGGCGCTTCCCGTCCTCCGCCAACGTGCCTTCGGCACGCCGTGGAGTGCCCCAAGGCTCATGCAGCCCTACGGGGTAGAGGGCTCGCGGCTGTTCTTTGGGGTTCTCAAGGGCCCGGACCCCCGGTTCCCCAGGCGGTCCGGGGCGCCGCTGCGCCCTGCCAGGGCGAATCTCGCCTGAGCCTCTGGGGCGCCAAGAGAGCCCCAAAACGGGCCAAGAAGACCCTCCGAGGTCCCAAGGTCCCGAGCCGTCGAGCAATCGGTCCAAGACGCCCAAGATGGCCGCCTGATGGCCGAAGATGCCCCCAAGACGCCCCAAGAGGCCCCCAAAGGGCCCCCAAAGAGGCACGAGTCATTGATGTTCCTAAGGCTTCTGAAAGATTCTGGCGTTCTCGCCTTTTCAGCTTCCCTACGCTCGAGGACGGCCCAAAAAAAACCCAAGATCGGCCCGGGACGGCCCAAGAGGCCTCCAAGAGGGTCCCAAAACGGCCCAAGATGGCACCAAAACGGCCCGAGAAGCGCAAAAAAAAGCCCCAGAGGCCCCCAAGACGGCTCCAAGAGGGGGCGCAGACGGGAGGCCCGAATGGACATTTCAAGCTCTCAGCCCTGGGAGGCCCCTAGGAGGCCCCAAGAAGCCCCGAAGAGGCCGCCAAAAGGTCCCCAGAAGCCCCCAAGAGGCCCCCAAGAAGCCCCCGAGAGGCCCCCAAAAACTGCCCCCAAGAGGCCCCCGAGAGCGCTCACGAGATGCTGCAAGAAGCATCCCCGAGGACTCTGACCCACAACCCGGGCATGGTGGTGGTATGGGCCGACGGCCGAAGGCCACTAGATTAGGGGCTCGAACACTAGGAGGAAGCTTCCTCACTGGCCAGCCGAGACAACGAAGCTGTCCAAGTGCGAAGATAGGGACCCAGGGCGCGCATGCGCACTCCTATGGATGGCACGGTACCAGCAGGAGGCCGTTCACCCTTTAAGGGCGGCCCCGGTTGGTCGCGCGCCGCTACGCGAACCTCGCTTGAGCCCAACGCATCGCGGACGAGTGCCCCCTCGTGGTCAGTTCCCTGCAGTGCTCCCGATGATGCCGTTCATTGTGTTCCTGCTCGTCCTCCTCCAGCTCTAGCGAAGCCGTTCAAGCGCTATCGGCCCCTTCGATTCGAAGGTGTCGCGTACTCCTCTAATTCCTCCTCGTCTTCCTCCACCTCCTAGCGCTAATCCGCAAGCGGCACGAACACAGCAGCGCCCAACGTCGTCTGCATCGACCGGATACCAGGTGCGGGTGGCGTCTGTTGTACAACCACCTGCGCCGCCGCAAGAACGGCTCGCATCCGCAACCCACATGTTATCGCAAGCAAGCCCATATCATTCGCTTGGCACTCACCCCGATCAAGATCCACATCACGAGCGCACAGATACCCGAGTCACACGCGAACTGCACAACTCACGAACACGGGCGTGAACCCTCGGGCTCAGTCCGTGCTCCCCGTGGAGTGCTGCGCACGCACGGACTCGCAGCTCCGACGGCCGCCGCGCCGCCCGCCTCCGCGTCGCCGCGCCCGAGCCCCACGGCCGCCGCCAGCCCCATCGTGGCCGACTGGGCGGGCGGGGGGCGGAGACGAGCGAGCGGGCGAGCCGCCACTGCGAAGCAGCCTCCGGGCCTACAGCCGGACCGGGGACAGAGCAGCGATCCCTTCGAGAGCACGAGGCCCTCGGCTGGCCAAAAGGAGGAGCATTCGAGGGTACCCTTCTCCAGGGTGCACGAGAACATCCAGCAAGCACGAAGCACGAAAAGGGTAGCCTCCCCGAACCAACCTCGATCTCCTGCCTCGGTCCGACTGTAACTGAGGCTAGCCGGGCGGGGATGGAGAGGGGGGCGAGGGGGAGGCGGGGCAGAGCCGCGGGCGGGCATGCTTGTCAGGGGTCGATCGGCCTGGTGGGTGCCAGGACCCTTGGGCGGGGCCGAGGAGGAGGAGGAGGAGGCTCAACCATCCAGGAGGAGGAGGAGGAGGACGGGCGACCATTGAGGGTAAGGATCGACGATCGAGGAGGAGAAGCATCGACGATCGAGGTTGAGAAGAAAGACTGATGATCCAGGATCGTCGACTGGATACACCTGTGAGGGGGGAGGGGAAGCCTGGGAGTCCAGGACATGAGGACGTGCTGAAGCATCAGCGACGCTTGCCAGGCTTACGCAGGTCCTGATACTACTCCATTCCTCCTCCTCCTCCTCCTCCTCCACCACCCTCTCCTCCTCATCATCCTCCCCAATCCCCGTTCCTTATACGTAATTCCACATGTTGTTCGGCGGCCCGGCGTTTCGCCCGAGACTTGCACACCTGTTCTCATCCTGAAGCTCGACACTTCCACGGATCGAGGGCGGGGCCGTTTCTAAACGTGGCTCTCGCATCATCGCCGCGCCCAGTCGTCTTATAAAAAAGGCTGCAGCAGCGTCGCGGATGGAGGGCGGGCTCTTTTTCGCACCGTGGCTCTCGCCTTTCGCGCCGCGCACACCCGCCTTTCAAAGTCTGCAGCAGCTGCACGCGTCTGGCCATCGCTTGGACGTCCATTCCCTGTGTTTGTTTCGGTTTCGTGCGTGGTTGTTTCGCCAAATGATCAAGGATGCTCCTCGATGGCCCTCGCCGAAGGAAAAATGCACACGTCCGAGCGATGCCAGGTGGAGAGCAAGCTCTTTTCAAGAGGTGGCTCTCGCTCTAGCGCCGCGCAATCTCGTGCGAAAGGCCTGCAGGCAGCTGCACGGCTGGGGCTCTCGGCTCCGTCTCGAGACAGGGCTCTCGCATTCGCACCGCGCAGCTCCCTTGGAGAAGTTTGCTGCAGGTTCACACATGGGATGAAGCCCTCGCCCGAGCGCCGCGCAACTTCGTCTGAAAAGTGTGCAACAGCTTCACGGGTGAAGCTCGGCTCCTGTTCAAGGTGTAGATCTCGTCTCAGCACCGCGCGCTACCGATTCAAACTGGCATGGAGGGCAGGTCCTGTTGAACATGTGGATCTCGCCAGCGCGCCGCGCTCATTCGTCAAGTCTGCAACAGCTTCACAGGTGAAACTCGACTCATGATCGACATGTGGCTCTCGCCATAGCGCCGCACATATTCGTCTCAAAAGTTTGCAACCGCTGAATCGGAGTCCCAGGGATGCTGTTCCCGCACGATTTAGGAGCGTCAAGACGCAAGAGTCCTTATACTCGCGGTGCTGAAAAATGTGGGAATGTTGTTCTGGCACGATACAGGACTGTCATAACGCGACAGCCACCTTGATCCGCGGCGTCGAGCTCCAAGGGGTGATGCTTTGACGCGCAGAAGAATGTTCAAACAGTTGTGCCAAACCATCCTGTGGTGTTGGGTACTCCTTTTGAAGAGAAAGCGCCCCGCGTTCCCACGTTCCTCACCTCCCGCTGTCCCCTCCTCCCTCCTCCCATCCCTACCTCTGCCTTTCGCATGTCCACCATGTCGGCACACTCCTCTAGCGTTTCGTGGCCCCATAGGGAGCTCCACGGAAAGCCCCAGTAGCTGCGCTCGCATGGCGCCACCGCACCCATTCCGGCACACCCCTCACACGCTCCGTGGCCCCATAAGGAGCTTCACCGAAGGCCCAAGTAGCTGCGCTCGCATGCCGCCACTGCCTCCATTTCGGCACACCCCTCACACGTTTCGTGGCCCCGAAGGGAGGGAGCTCCACCAAAGGCTCCAGTGGCTGCGCTCGCATGGCGCCACCGCACCCATGTCGGCACACCCCTCACACGCTTCGTGGCCCCATAGGGAGCTCCACCGAAGCCCCCAGTGGCTGCGCTCGCACGGCGCCACCGCACCCATGTCGGCACACTCCTCACACGTTTCGTGGCACCATAGGGAGCTCCACCGAAGGCCCCAGCAGCTGCGCTCGCATGCCGCCACCGCACCCATTCCGGCACACCCCTGACACGTTTCGTGGCCCTGAGGGGAGCTCCACCGAAGGCCCCCGTGGGTGCGCTTGCATGCCGACACTGCCTCCATTTCGGCACACCCCTTCACACGATTCGTGGTCCCGAAGGGCGGGAGCTCCACCGAAGGCCCCAGTGGCTGCGCTCGCATGGCGCCACCGAACCCATTCCGGCACACCCCTCACACGTTTCGTGGCAGCATAGGGAGCTCCACCGACGGCCCCAGCGGCAGGGTTCGCATGGCGGCCCCGTACCAATTTCGGCACACTCCTCACACGCTTCGTGGCCCCATTTGGAGCTCCACCAAAGGCGGGACACAGAACTGCGGTACTCACACGTACATATGGTTGGGTCCTTCGCCAAGAAAATGTTCTAATGGGCAATGTCCCGCAATGAAAATAAAGTTTTAAAGCGACCTATGAGAAGGAATGTGGAGCGAGAAATTCTTGCAACATCGTCGATGCGTCTTGGGTTTTACGCTGGTCCTTCTCCTCCTCCTCCTCCTCCTCCTCCTCCTCCTCTGCCATCTCCTCGCCTCGCCCTCCACAATCACCCGCCCCGATCCCTACTGCCCCCCTTATCCCGTCCGCGCTGTCAGTTCCTCCCCATCCCCCCCCAACCGTCTGCTACTGATCCCTGTTAATTCTTATCCTCCCGATCTCCCTTCTTCGTCGACCTCCTCCTCCACCTGCTCTTGCAACTTCTCCAGCTCCACGTCCTCGTCCTCCCCATTCTCCTCCTCCTTCTCCTCCACCTCGTCCTTCTCGCCCTCCTCATCAATCTCTCGAACCTTGCACCGGGCTCACGGGCCGTTTGTTGGACATATTTGAGACACCATGGTACACATGGAATCCTTTTGAGACGACTTTGCTTTGAAAGTTGCTTGCCCGCTGCATGTGAAACCGACCAGCAACAAGCTCTGCACACGTTAGACACTCGCTTGGCACTGCGCGGTCTGTAACTTCACATCATGCGGACGTGAATTCAAGTACGAAGTAGCATCTGGCCAAGCGTCGTGCAATCGCCTGGGACGCAGATCGTGTCAAGCACCACCGAGGACACTCTTCCCTGACCAACATTCCACGCTCTTGTGCTCGGGCTTCTTGAGCTCACCGTCGGTCTGGCTGGTGTCCAAGTTGTACCCGCGGTGCTGCAGAAGCGCATGGCGCCGCATCAATCCGCGCACGACCTCCGCACGGTGCTGTGGCAGGTGCGCGTTCTCGCGGGCGCCCTGGCCAGAGGCTGCGGCCAGCTTCGACCTCTCCAGCTGCTTCATGTCGCCCCCCAAGGTAGTCCCGCTGCCCTTGGCGAGGCCACCACCCGCATGTGCATCCCGAAGAAACACCTGGTCCGCCTCGGGCGTGCCCAGGACAGAGGCGTTCGGAACCAGGTGCAGCCAGCCGAGAGCCTCCAAGAGCTCACGCACGGCGGCAGACTTGCGCTCCATCAAGTCCTCATACTTGAGCGTGTGCGCGAATAACCCGCGCTGGCCCAGAGCAACTGCGACATGCGAGTCCACGATGCTCATGAACGTGAGAAAGCCCAACGCCCCATGACGTGCAAAATGATGCGGACTCAGATCTGGCAGCTCCAACCCTGGTAACGCCAAGAGAGGATCCTCACGCAGAGCCGTGTCCATGCGCTCCATCCACCGCACCGCAGGGCTGCCACTGAGGGGCCAGAATACACCGTCCATGCTGTGCTGAGCGAGGTATTTAGCAGAACCTGAAACCATATTAGACTCCGTAGCTGCATTGAACGAGCCAATCACGTCCTCCACCGTCCGCCACTGGAAGAGCTGTTGTACTTGTGGCAGCGCTTCGGGCATCAAATCGCAAGAGCGCCAAAGGGGTGCCAACGTTCGGTTCTTGATGACGACAACCTGCTTGTCCGGATGTGATCGCCGTCTCTGGTGCACCAGCATCAGAACAGCAGCCCGGGTCACGCGAACAGCTTCCTCGCGCGAGCAAAGACCTCGCTCAAGCATCTCGTGCACGTGAGCGAAGAAGTCCGGCTCGGACACAGACTGGCAGCCCACATCCAGCCACTCCAATGCTTTCGTCAAGACGGTGGAACCACAGCGGCCAGTCATCTGAATGAGCAGCACGGGGCCCATGTCCTTCGCCTCTGGAAGGGACTCAGCCAAAGCAATTGCCTGTTGCCACGGGACTGCGACAATTCGCTTTACACTCTGTCGCTGTCCCACAAACATGAAGGGCGCATCCGTGGGAGAGAAACCAGGATCATGCTGGACAAGGACAATGGTGCGCGTAGCAGGGCAGATGCAGTAGGGCATCGCGTTGCACACCGTGTCCCCGATGACTGCCCTCACGTCGTGTACGGCGGGCCCGAGGGAGAAACGCCCGAGGTCGTCCAGAGACAAGGGAGTGAGAATGCGGTCCATGGAACCGAGCCAAGGTGATCCATCCGGGCGGGAGTCCAGGCTTTTGGTCGGAACGAGCTCCCTGGACTCTTGGATCTCGCCCACCGGGAACGACGACCTCATACCACGGGGCCGAGGCCGCACGGCGCTCGCCCAGCCTGCGAGGACCACCTCGCGGAAGGTGGCCACGAGCTCGAGCTCCTGCTCCGGGAGTGGAGCACGAGCCATGCCGAGGTGAGAGACCCGCCCGTGCAACGAGCGGAAGCGGCGCGGGCGGTCTCGAATACTGCCTGACTCAAAACGGCTTCGGGGCCGTCTTGGGATAATCTGGATACCCTGGGGCCCCCAAGGAGCTCTGGATCGACACCCTGATGACAAACAGAAAGCTGCTCAGAAGACTCGACCGCCCCAGCGGCCCCGAGACAGCCCGAAGACCCCACAAGACGCCCCGAGGCTGCCGACAGACGGCTCCAAGAAGGCCCCAAGACTCGACCAGACGGACCCAGGAATGTTTATCGAGCCTCTTCGGGACAGCTCGATCCGCCACCGTGCCTCCTGGCTCGTGAAACGTGATAGGATGCCAAGTACTTAGTGTCTGAAAAGGAATTCTGAAAATCTTAGAAGGGCCCTCCCTATACTCTGGATGAGGCAATAATCGCCCCCCCCCCCACGGATCTGGTGGGGGGGTTGGGCACGTGCTGTCGGAACGGGTGGAGGGGGGTTGGAGGAGGAGGAGGAGGAGGAGGAGGAAGAGGAGGAGGAGGAGAGGAGGAGGAGGAGGAGGAGGAGGGGGAGGAGGAGGAGGGGGAGGGAGGAGAAGGAGGGGAGGAGGAGGAGGAGGAGAAGGAGGTAGAGGAGGAAGTGGGGGTGGCGATGGGCAAGCTCTGTCGAAAGGTTAGTCGCCCACCCTCGATTAATATCCCACCCAGAGTACTCACAACTCCTTGCCCTGGGCACCTGCCCAGGCGCCTACCTGGGGAACTGCAAGACTCTCTTCAAGGCAGCCACGAAGGACTGAGACGGCCGCCCAGGTCCGCCATCGCGCCGCCGTGGCACGCTGAGGCGTAGCAGAATGCCACGTACTGTGCGGTCTGGTAGGGGTTCTGCATTCTCATTCAGGACTGCCTCTTCCCCTTCCTCTTCCTCCTCATCCCTCCTCCTCCCTCGTCCTCCTCCTCCTCCTCCTCCTCCTCCTCCCTCCTCCTCCCCCATCTCCTCCCCCCCTCCTCCTCCTCCTCCCTCTCCCTCCTCAGCCCTCTCCTCCTCTCCTCCTCCTCATCCCTCTCCTCATCCTCCTCCTCCTCCTCCTCCCTCTCCTCTCCTCCCTCCATCCTCCCTCCTCCCCCCTCTCCTCCTCCTCCTCTCCTCACTCCTCCTCCTCCTCCTCCTCCTCCTCCTCCTCCCTCCTCCTCACCCTCCTCCTCCTCATCCTCCTCCTCCCTCCCTCTCTCCTCCCTCCTCCTCCTCCTCTCCTCCTCCCCCCTCCTCCCTCACTCCTCCTCATCTCCCCCTCCTCCTCCTCCTCGCCTCCTCCTCCTCCTCCTCCTCCTCCTCCTCCTCCTCCTCCTCCTCCTCCTCCTCTTCCTCCTCCTCCTCCTCCTCCTCCTGCTCCCGAGGCCGCAGTCCCTCGTACTACACAGTGGATCCACGCTCCCGAACCCACGCGACCTTTCGCAGAAAACTGCGCGCCTGCGCCCCGCGCCTCCAAGAAGGGCCCAGGCAGGCAGCCGAGGCAGCCACGACGGCCCCACGATGCCTCGCAGACGCTCCAAGGTGGCCTCGAGGCTGTCCGGGATGCCCCCAGGAGGGCCCACACGAGGGCCACAGCAGGCCAGCCGACAGGGCCCAGAGGAGCTGCAAAATCATAGATTTTCCTACCAGAGCCGCGCGCGCGCGCTCAGGTTCTACCCGCGACCAAGGAGCTCGCACGGCAAGCTGCCGATGAGGAGTGCAGGGGCGATTCTGGAGATCCTTCGGGGTTGGTAGAGCGACCTGCTGCATTTCACTTTTGGAATCCCGGCGACGCGTCAGTGAGTCCCAGGGCTTCTTCGACGCTTCTAGCGCTTCCTTGGGCCCACCCGAGGACCAGAGGAGGAGGAGGAGCCTAGCATTAGGTCGGGCATGTCCTCCTACAGGCGCGGATTTGGGGCGAAAGCTAAAAACACTCCAAAGATACCCAAAGACATTCAACAAATATTAGAAAACGTACCCTGACTACTTTTGACTACTTTTGAATATTCCTCCTGTAGAGAGACATGCCCGCCTAAAGCCTAGCAACGAAGAGCTGTGCCCGAGTCTGCTTCCAAAGTACACGCCACCAGGGCCACACCACGGAGCATCGAAACCCAACCACCCCCCTCCTGGCCCCACACATCTGGGGGCCAAGCCAGAGTGCAGCGAAGTCGGGGAAAAGACCCATCCGGGGCGCACCAGCAAGACCTCTCCAATTCGACGACTCGGGTTTCTCGGGGGGCATTACTGAAGAGCTTCCGCGGCGTCTCCGGCCGTCCATGGGCCGTCTCGAAGCCTCTCCGACGCCTGCTGAAAATGCGGTATTGGGGGCCGTTGGCATCCGTTTCTGAAGCTGTCTTGGGAGCAACCTGGGCCATCTTGGAAACCTCGGGATCAAGAGGGCCCCACGACGGCCCCCAGACATAACCCGTACGGGCCAAGAGGAAGGACAGCCCCAAGACGGCCTCAAGCGACCCCAAAGACTGCCCCACAGGAGACCAACATAGCCCCAAGACGGCCCAAACGAGTTCCCATGAGAGCTCCGCTGGAAGCGAAAGCGAAAGGTGTCACGTGTGACTGCCTTCTCCTTCCTTGTCCTCCTCCTCCTCCTCATCATCCTCCTCCTGCTCCTCCTCCTCCTCTTTTCATCAACATCATCAGCAGCAGCATCAGCATCAGCACGAGCACGAGCATGAGCATGAGCATGAGCATCAGCATCAGCATCAGTATTCAGCTCCTCCTCATAATCATCATGATCAGCATCATAATCATCATCATCAGTATCAGCATAATCATAATCAACATCCGTATCATCATAATCATCAGCATCAGCAGCATCGCACCGTCATCATCATCATCATCATCAGCAACACCAGCATCATGGTCATCATGATCACCATGATCATCATCAGCAGCATCAGCATCATCAGCATCATCATCGTTATCATTATCATCATTATCTGCATAAGCATAAGCGTGACTCCTGGGTGCCTGGGTGTCGGGAGCGCGGCGCTTGAGTAAATTGCAAGAATTCCCATGCAAGGGCTGTATTGGTCAGCAAGTCTCCAGCGAGAGCGCGACTCCAGAGCGCTGGGAGAGCGATTCCTGAATAAAGCGTAAGGAAGTCCAAAGCGAGAGCGCGATTCCTGAATGAAATGTGAGAAGTCTCGGGCGGGAGCGGGGGTCCTGGCTAAATTGTGAGGAAAACTCAGGGGGAAGCCGTTGTTGTTGTAACCCGGGGGCCAGGGTCCCAGTTTGAGCAGGAAGACTTTCCCTGTCAAAAAAAAGGGGCGAGCGTCGAGGGGCACACTTTGATTGAGAAAAAACGATATACACCGGTTGGGGGGATCAACAATAATGATTCTTCAGAAATGAGAGTTCAACAACAATCATTTTAAGACTGTTCGTTCTTACTGGCACGCGTGTCTTGCATTCCGTATACCCCAACCCTTGATACCCGCCCACTTCGTCTTCGATTGCACCCCCTTTCGGGGGGAATCTCTTCCGTGTCGGCCACTGACTGAAGTGCGAAGAAATCTCGAGCAAGAGCGCCGTTCATGAGTTCGAGGGCCTCTATGGCCAGGGGGTCTCAGAATACCTATGAAGAAATATCGAACGGGAGCCATTGTCGCCGCGTCCGGGCCACCAACTTGCCTGAATTACGTGAGGGTCTCGAGCGAGAGCGCCGTTCCTGAGTTCGGGGGCCTCCTTAGCCAGGGGCTCTCGGAGAAAATCGTAAGGAAGTATCGAGCAGGAGCCCTTGTCGTCGTGGCTGGGCCTCCGCCAACTCAATTGAATTGCGAAGAAATCTCGAACGAGAGCGCCGTCCCTGAGTTCGGGGGCCTCTCTGGCCAGGGTGTCTCGGGGTAAACTGTGAGGAAGTATCGAGCGGGAGCCGTTGTTGTCGCAGCTGGGCCTCCACGGGCCCACATTTAGGCTCGAGCCAACGCTCGAACGGGACCCTCGTTTTCAGAGAACATGTAGCCAGCAAAAGAATCGAACAATCGTCCCCAGACTATCCCTATTACTACTATTGAGCATTCCTCCTGTAGAGGGACATGCCCGACTTACAATAATCGAACAAAACAAAAACGCCGGCATCGAGGCGAGACCGCGTGGAACCGTTTCCTGAGATCAACAATTATTAGTGTTGCGAAATGAGAATTCCAAAATAATCAAAATGTTCGCTCCTCTGGTCACGTGCCGATCGAAACGTATATCCCAAACCTTCGGTACCCGCCCTTGTCGTCTTCGATCGTACCCCCTTGGGGGCATAGCTTCCCTACCAGCCACGTGCATTTAGCGCAGCCCCTAAAACAAGCGAGCAAAAGACGGGTAGAAGGGGGAGGGAGAAGAATGGAGCACGAGAGAAATTAGCAGGAGGGGTGCAAAAAACAGAAAACAAGTGGTAGAACCAGACGGGCAGATCGGGTGGGCAGACCAATACGGGCAGGTCGGAAAGGCGGGCCCAGGCGACCAGGTTGAGTAGGCGGGTTCCTGAAGCATGGATCCTGCATGAATCGCGAGGAAGTCTCGAGGGGTAGCGCGATTTCAAAGTTGATCACGAAAAAACCGTGATTCCTGAGCGCTGAAGACGCATCGTCTGAATGAAATGCGAGGAAGTCCAACGCGAGAGCGCGATTCGTATACAAATTGTGAGGAAGTCACGCGCGAGAGCCTAAATCATGAGGAAGTATCAGGCGGGAGCCGCTGTTATTGCAAACTGAGGGCCAACAACCCAATTTGAGCCCCGTGATTTTCCATGAGAAAAAACAAAAGTGCAAGCCCCAGGGGAAGCACTTCTGTCGAAAAAATGCAATGGTCGCAGGAGGGGGGGATCAACATAATGATGTTATCCTTCAGTACTGAAAACTCATCAACAACAACAACAACAACAACAACAACAGCAGCAGCAGCAGCAACAACAACAACAATCGTTTTAAGACGGTTCGCCCTGATCTGCTCGAGTGTCCAACAACACGTATTTCCCACACCCT